TACTAATGCAGCCTTTTGGTCCCTCCTGCTGAGTTCACGGTGTTATTTCAGCCTCCTGCAAATCTGTCTAGACGTCAGAACCCAGGTCTGGGCAGCTGCTCAGAGGGGCGGACCTGGGGGTGTGTGTGGGGGGTGGTAGCCACCTGGGGGCTCCTGGGCTGGGGGGACGCGGAGGAGGGCTCCCAGCTCTCTTGGCCTCAGGGGCCTCCTTCCCTCCCTCTCAAATGAGGGAGCCTTTGGAATGGAGCTTCAGATATTTCCATTCTACTCAGCAGAGCTTGTGTTCAGTGCTAACCATGGGCAAAGACTTTCAGAATATTCTGGTGAAGTCCCTCATTTTGCAGACCTAGAGAGAAAGTGACTTGTGCAAGTCGCACAGAGAAATGGCAGAGCTGCCTGTGGAATCCAGACTTTTTTGACCCTAAGCACAGGCTCTGTCTGATCATGGGAGTTTACAGATGAGGAAACTTGAGGCCCAGACTTCCACAGCCTCTTCTTGCAGCAAGGGAAGGCAAATGATAAAATACTGTTAGTGTGTGTCCAGAAGGGCTCCTAGGGGGCCTCACTGCTGCCTCTTAGCTGCCCTGGTGTGGAAGAAAGAAGGGAAGGAGGGAGGGAGGGAGGGAGGGAGGGAGGGAGGGAGGGAGGGAGGGAGGAAGGGAGGAAGGAGGGAAGGGAGGAAGGAGGGAAGGGAGGAAGGAAGGAAGGGAGGAAGGAAGGAAGGGAGGAAGGAAGGAAGGAAGGAAGGAAGGGAGGGAGGGAGGAAGGGAGGGAGGAAGGGAGGGAGGGAGGAAGGAAGGAGAGCAGGGCCAGCTCTCGCTCCCTGACTCCTCTACCCTGACTTACAGCGCTCTTCAGATGAATTAGGCTCTGGGCCCTCAAGGATTCTAGCTTCTCCAAAGAGGCTCTGTAAGAGTGGGAAACATTTTTGAAAACCTATCCAGGAGAGGAGAGGAGACTTACTTCCCGGTGCTAAGAGAGAAACTGGACCAGAAGTGGGGTGTGGAGAGGGGGAGGGGAAGGGAGGGGTGGATGAAGAAGACAAGACCATCAGAGTGCAAGAGGGTGGAAATGTCCCCCCACCCTATCCTGTGCCAGCCACCCGCCCAGTCTGCAGGCAATGGGCTGGGACAGTGCGGAGCCACAGGGAAGTTAGTCCCTTCATCCCCTCTCCTACCTCAGGCCCTACAGTGGAGGCTCAGCCAGGGTCAGGGAGTAAGAACAGATGGTGTGGGGCTGGCTGGTCCGAGAGTTCCCAATTAGACTTTGTTTCTCATCCTTAAGGCCCTGAGCCCCCAACCCAGCACCCCAGCCCAATTACTGCAGGGCACCGTTAACCCCTGGGTGCCCCAGGCCGTTAATGGAATGTTAATTGGTCTAATGGGTTTCATGTCAACAAGTTCTAATGAGCTCCTTCCTAACGAGCTTGGATCTTTTTTCTAAGCCTGTTTGTCAACACGCTGGCGTTTGGGCTCCAGATGGAGGGCCTCACCTGGCTGGGGAGCTGGAGTTGAGGAAACGGAGTGGGTGCTCCCGGGGTGCCCCTCCCCTCTTCCTGAGGAGTGTCCTTCGGCCCCTTCAGCCACCACCAGCCCATGCACACTGCCTTCCTCGGCTCCTGAGCTCTGGAAAATGGCAGTTTTAGCTCCTTTTGAAGATAATGTCAGTGACAAATTACTTTTTCTTGGATATCATTGTGGGGTTGAGTGTTGCATTAGGGTTTTGGTTTTTTTCTTTCCCTCCTAGCTGCCATATAAGAAAGGTTTCCAACGTTAAAAACAACCTTTTGACGTGGGAAATTTCTCGGTGGTAAATCATTCCTCGTGTGTCCTCCATTTGCGTCTTGGCTGTGTTCCCTCCAGTGCCCTGGTGTCTGGTGACAGAGGGCTGGGGCCCCTGGACAGGGCGGAGCAGCCTCCGGCCACAGACAAATGCCGGAGGCCCTGGACAGGCCTGCTGTGCCCTCCACGCTCCCAAAGAAAGTGCAAAAACGGCAGGTTTCCCCAGAGGCCCGGGTGCCCAGCGATGGCTCAAGGAGTTCCCCGCATCCCAGCTGTGGAGCCTCAGCTCAGAGAAGTCAGATTCCCACACTCCTCTCGGGGATGGTCCCACATGGACCCTCAGCCCCCGAAGCCCAGCTGGAGGGAGGAAGGAGCGCATGTGCGGGTGAGGGGGCGTGTGAAGAAAAGGGCGAGCTTCCGGAGATGGGCACAGCGTCTCCCCCAGCATCAGGTTACCAGACGCTTCTGTGCCTGAGCGAGCAGGGAAGGAAACTTAAGCCCCTGATGAAAAGGCCTCCTGTTTTCTTGCAGGAGCAGCCCCCAGAGGGCAATGGGGCAGTGGCCTAGTGGCCTGTGGTGACCCCAGAGGGGAGGAGGGGGAGGGGCAAGGGCCATCTGGGTCCTCAGAAAATTGTTCCCGTGGCCTCTAGCCCCTGCTCCACAGTCCAGCAGGCTGCAGACTGAAAAATCTCTTCTCAGCCTGGACGGTGGTTGTTTCTGGGTGCAGACTACTCTTAGCCATCTCTCTTTACCCCCAGGTAGGGCAGCTATCCAGCTGTTGCAAGTATTTCTAGGGACAGACTCTAAAACGACCCTACCTCCCATTGATTGGACAGTGAACAAAAGAATGCAGACTAAAGAGTCCTCTTTTTACCCCAGATCCTCCTCATTGAGTTTCCTGTGCTTTGCCTTCGTGATGATTTTCTCATCCGTGGAATGAGGTACCAAAAGACCCAAACTCGAGGTGGAAGGGATTCAGTTGCCCCTAACAGGGGAGAAAATCTGCCTCCAGACTCTGCCCCCAGGCTCCCCCTTCTGGAGGCTGCTGGCACTGCAGCCCCTCAGAAGTTCGCTTTTTCCGGCCAAGGAGCATCTAAGATTGGTGCTCCCGGGAAGGGATCCTGCCTCAGTACCTGTAGGCCTCATCCAAAGTTACCTCATCTGCCAGAGTCACAGGAAAGGCTGAGCCTAGCACACTCCTGAAATACTCCTTTTTCCTTTATTCCCTCCGGGTCCAAAAGAGAGAGATTCCACGTCCAATTTAATATCTCAGAAGTCTTCATTCTCAAGTTCTTTCTGATGTCTCAAGAGGAATATATCCTCTTCCCTCCCCCCCGAACCCTCTTCACTCCGCTGTTTCCTTCCTTGGGTGTTTTCCACCTCCCAGACAAGACCCAGCCATGAAAATAGGCAATGGTTCCCCGCTTGTGGAGTTTGGCTTCCCCAGGGCTCCCTTCCGAGCCTCTTTGCAGAAGTAAAGCCTGGATCTCGGTGCCTAGTGTGTGTAAGACGGGGTGACCCTGGGTGCTTCTGCTGCAAAGACGTCCTGGCAGCCGATCTTCTGAAGTGAGGCCAGGGTGGGCGAGGTAGGGGTAGTGGTGAGGCAAAGAGGAATTACCTGCAGTCTGAACGTTTCAGCACAGGAAAAGGCATCCCCCCCCATGCCTTCTCCACGGGAACCTCTGTTCACTTTCTTCTTTCCCGCTGGACCATCACCTCCCTCCCTGGGGGGAAGGCCTTGCCTCCTCTCATCTGTCTCCCCACCCCAGCACAGTTCTTTGCGTGTAGTTGACACCTGATAAACATTCGTTGAATGAATGTCTGGATTTCCAGTGCTTTCACATATGCACTTCAGGTCAAAGCACACCTGGTACTTCGGAGACTCGGGTCAGCCAGAGCTGATCTGTCCACCTCTTCCTGAAAAAGAACCAACACAACAAGACACACACACACACTCCACATAGGGTCCTGGAGACCCTCCCTTTGACTCCCTCGAACTCCCACAGAATTCAGGTATGTGAACGTTCTGGAAGACCCTGGGGAGGGTGTGGTGGGAGGACATCAGGTGGGAAGAGGACGGAGCCCCAAGGTCCCCAGGGAGAGGAAGGAAGGAGAGGGACGGTCTGACTGTCATACTCTCAAAGGTTGCCCGCTCATCAGCACCCTCCTGTATCAGGCAATTAGCCGTGGTTTCCAGCTCTAAATATTTCAGGGCATCTCCTGCAGCTAAACAGCTCTTTCAGCATTCTGTTTCCTTGGGTGGTACTGCCAGGCTGTCTCCACTTACGCACCACTTTGTGATTCAAGAAGAGACCTTGAGGCCAATGGGGGCAGCTCGCTTGTGGGTGATGGGGTGGGGTGGGGGTTGGTACAGTAGAGCCGACGGAACGGGGAGTCTGGAGAGCTTCGGTCCATCCCGGCTTCCCCGGCACTCCCCTCCCCCTCAAACACACACACTTCTCTCCTCTTGGCCTCTGTCTCCGCCTCTGTAAGAGGACCATTTGCTTCGGGCAGCTCTTCTGGCCTCACGTGTGGTTGAACTCAGGGTTGAACCAAGGCCAAGGAACGTCTTCTAAGAGAATGTGCAGGCACATCTGTGTGGCCGTGGTCCCTGTTCCCGGCCTCCTTCCCTTCCGGGAACACCTCCCGGTCGTCGCCCTAGGGTACTTGCTCCACCCTCCAGTCTGAGGAGGAACCAGCGCCCCACGTCCCTCTCCACCACTAGGGGCCGTCGTGAGCACACCTGGGGGGTTAGTGTGGTGCTGGCAGACCCTGGGGACAGGGAGGGGGGATCTGGAACCTTGAGGGCTGAGGCTTCCGCCCCGAGGGTGCAGGTGGCAGCTCCGGGAGGCCTGGGGAAGGGAAAGCACCCTTGACCGTGGGGTGCCCTCATGGCCGCCAGCCCCCCTGAGCTGCCACCAGCCAAGTCCCGCCCCCCCGCCCAGGCCAGAGCTGGTACTGAACAAAGCAGGGCTGCGGGTGCACAGGTTGTTTTACATGTGATGCGAATAGTGTTTCTTGCAAGTCAGCGTAGCGCAGCAAGCCTCACCCCACCCAGGCTTCTCCCCTTAACTCTCGTTCGTCCCCCGCGAAGGGCTTCCAGCCCTTGCTGTATCCAGTCAATCCTGGTGGCCCAGCCTGGGAGCATGTCCAGCCGCTGGTCCCTGGGGCTCCCTGTGCTCAGCTATTAACGGTGCGGCCCCGTTTCTCCCGCCACAGATCCTCCATGTGAATCCATCCCATGATGCAACATGCCTCCCCAGCCCCCGCTCTGACGATGATGGCCACGCAGAATGTCCCTCCCCCTCCCTACCAGGACAGCCCACAGGTGAGTGTGACTGACCGCCGGGAGGGGTGTGGTGGCCTTCCCAGGGGCGGAGGGCAGGGCCAGGCCTCCCTCAGCTCTTCCCCTGCCCGGCCTGGGGCGCCTCTCTGAGAGAGCCCGGCAAAGCCAGACCCCTGAAGGGAGTCACGCTCTTGGCAAAGCCCTGGGTTCAGATCCCACCTGAGGAGCTGTCACCGGCATGGAGGACCGTGGCACCCCAGGGTGCTGCACCTAGTCATGGTCCTGTGCCACACACTCCCACCCCCGCTCACTGCTCAGAGCAGACGTCAGATGGACACACTGAACCCCTCACTCGGGGAGACCCAGGTACAGCTAAATCAAGTGTGCCTCTGAGTGTTTGGGGAAACTCTTGATCAGAGGTTTCCTCTGACAGATCGCCCTAGTCACTTGTCTCTGCCTGCCTATTGGAGGAATCTCCCTTCTCTTCAGGACTCTGTCAGCTTCTATCCAGAAAAAGGCCAGGACTGTTTCTCTACACTCTCCCATCCTTCCCTCGGGTTCCCAGTTTCCATCCCTCAGCTCAGACACGGCAGACCCCGCCCAGGTTCTTCCGAGACTCCCAGGCTGGCTGCACCCCCTGCAGGCCACCCTGCCTTCCTGTTCTCTCCTCTCCTCCTCTGGAAGCCTGGCCCAGCTTCTGTGGGTTGCTCTCTGGAAGTCCTTGAGACCAGTCACTTCTGAACTTCGCTTCCGCGTGTGCGCCTTCCCTCCACGCTTGGTTCTTTGAGACTCAGAGTTCATCATGAGGCTGTGCGTTCACAGAAGCCTCCACCTCTGCACTTCCCTGTTTTCTCTATTATTAATTGAGTACGTATAATGTGAAATGCACCCAGCTAGAGTATTCCTTCATTCATTTCACAAATGTGCAGTGAGCGCCTACTGTGTACCAGGCCGTCATTCTCATTCTTTCTCCACCGCTGGTCTTTGCCCAGCTCTGCTATCCATCACTCATTAGGCTTTCAGACACAGCCCTTCTCCTGACCACAGGGAAGCTCTGTGCCATATGGAAGGGACACGAAGACGCAGACCCAGGGTGCATCACTTTAGATCCTGTGGCCCCGACACCCGCAGCCTGGTGTGAGCATACGGTGCTGCCCTATCCATGCTGTTATCCGCCCATGAAATGACCGCTCTACAGGGTGTCCAGCACGCGGACCCCCACTGACTCCTACCCCTGTGTAAGTGCAGAAGCACTGACCTTTGAGTGCACGTCCTTTTGTCCCACCCCCGACCCCGCTCCCCGGTGTCAACTCCGTGCTCCTTCCTGGGCTCTCCCCACCCTGACCTCAGCTTCAGCAGACCCTCTGTTCACGTCAGTAGCTCTCCACAAACGACTGTGGGTTGGACTTGGCATTTGTACAGTTCCTCTGTTTGAAAGCTTCCAGGTGTGCAGCTATGTCAGGGCCTTTCCCTCTGTAGTCAGAACCAAGTCGGCCTGGACCAGTGGAGACCTAGGAACGTAAGGGCCATAATGGGGAACAAGCACCATCCTTCTTCAGTAGACCAGACCCATCTGCTGTCTGCTTAGGCAGTGCTGGGGAACCTGGGGTATTGATGAAGAGGCAGGAACATCAGCTCCAGTTGTTTTGTAGCTGGATGCTGGTCTCCGAGCTCCACAGTGGGACTGGGATATGGCAACCGGGACACTGCCTGTGTTTAGCAGGTGGTAGGTGCCGAGGCCCACACTCCCATCCCCAAGGCTCAGGGACAGACCAGGGTAGGGCCAAGAGGTCAGAGAGCACTGGATTGGCATAGCTGGCGGCAGCTGCCTCTCTGCCTCCGGCCCCACCCCCTGTTTTGCCTTCCTGGGAGAAGTTTGGGTTTGGTGGGCATTAGCAGGAGAGCTGCAGAGAGGGCCTGCAGCTGACCCGGGTGCAGTGAAGTAGAGAAACCTAATTGAACTCTCAGCATACAGCTGAGGAGTCATCCATCCCAGCTGCCGAGGGAGATGGGGAGGTGAGATTGCAGCCCTAAGGTGCTGAGCCCCCCGGAAGCCACCACTGAGGTGCTCTAGCCTTTTGGGGGAGGAAGGAAGGCTCCAGTCCCCCATCCAAGGCCTCAGAGCAGAAGCCCAACGCACAGGGGCTGTCCCAAGGCTCTCTTCTCTGAGGAGCCACCAGAACCTCACCATCGAAAATACTCACATATACAGCCAAGGAATAATTTGTTCCGGGGAAGCCACACATCTCCCTGTAACCCCAGCGGTCCAGGAATGAAGTCTCAGTGTCCATGGTAAAGTGACCAGGCCAAGGCCTGGGGTCTTTATGGCCTCGGCTAGGCTGTGGCTAGATTCCCATGGGCCTTCCCTGAGTCAAACTTGTTCTCAAGGAAACTGACCAGGATGGGGGATCATGGGGAGAACTTAGGGCATGGACGGAATGGGCGGGATGGAGGACGTGGGTGAGGTCTGCAGGACAAAGTCTTCTGACTCACGGGGAAGGGCTGTTCTCTCCAGAGTGCTAGACTTGGAGGCCAGCTGGCTTTCGGGGCACCCTTCTCTCCACTCTTCGGGGCTTCTAGGAGTGGCTGCCACATGGGAATGTCTTCCATGTGTTTTCTGCTGGGGAACTTGTTCTTCCTCCTGCCTTCTTCCCTTTGTGCTGTCAGAGGCTGAGCCCCACTTCTCAGGCGAAGCTCATCGTCCTGGCGAATCAGCCACTCTTTGACACTCAGTGTTCTCAGGAAAGCCGGGCCCAGTAGGAGTGTGGGCCAGGCACACAGGGGAATCACTTCCTAAACGGGGCTCTCTGGAGGGGATCCCCCGCTTCCTGTTCATTCCTTCAGGTCTAATCTCATTACTTTTGGACCCAGTATGACTTGCTTTCTCAAGGCCTGGACTGCTGAGCTCTTTTTTTTTTTTGCGATACGCGGGCCTCTCACTGTTGTGGCCTCTCCCGTTGTGGAGCACAGGCTCTGGACGTGCAGGCTTAGCGGCCATGGCTCACAGGCCCAGCTGCTCCGTGGCATGTGGGATCTTCCCGGGCCGGGGCACGAACCCGTGTCCCCTGCATCAGTAGGCGGACTCCCAACCACTGCGCCACCAGGGAAGCCCCTGAGCACATCTCTTTATCACCTCCTCAGAAACCCAGTTTCTGCCACAGGTAGAAATGGACAGTCTCTGCTACAAAGTCCCCAAAATGAAAAAGGAAGGGAGAAGCAGGGCCCTTCCTCTGAGACCCATGCAGTCGTTTTAATAATGTTCCCGTTGTGCTAAGGGCTAGCAATACCGAGCATAATCTATTCAAATGCACAGGAGAATCTCACTTTGGAAAATTAGGAATCTGCATTAAAAAATTCCCAAGCCCCGGACCTTCTTTATAATAAATTAGAATTTTTTTTCAAGGCAAGTTCTTAACTTGGCAATTTCATTTTTGAAGTTTGGGGAATAAAGTTATTAAAAATGAGGGAGGCTTTTTCTTCTTCCCATTTTAGTCCAGAAGCATTAATGATTATGGCCCCATGCTGTTTGGGCACAAGCCAAGTGGTATGACAGCTAAGCAGCTTCTGGCCCCTCAGTTCTGTTCCGGTCTGTCCTGGGGACACTCCATGATTACTTGTAAGGATGTCACTCTGTGTTTATTGTACACTAAAGGCAGATCGTAAGTTTAGAAAATACAAAAGCAACAACCCACTGGAACCCTTCCTGTGGCCTGCTTCCTCCTTCTGGTGGCTCCCTGTCAGAGTCACAGCGCCCTCTGCTGTCCACCTCCTGTACCTCAATTCCGGCATGATGCACCTGAGTCCTTGATCCAGACCCTCACTTTATGCCCCAAGAGGTAGAGCAAGTCATGGGGACTGTGGGAATTCTACGATGATAGTTTAATGAAAACATTGTCTCCAGGGAGACCTGGATATGAGCTAGGCATGTGGTCCCTCCATTAAGTGCCTACATCACTCTTCCGTTCCTTTGCATCTCTAGCCTGGCCATCTGTCACCTGGATTTTCCCAATCCCTCCTCTCACCACCCCAGCACCTCCCCTGATCCTGATGGGATCCTCTGCTATTGTCCCCCTCTCCCGGCAAGTGCCACTGCAGTCTCCCTCCCAGAATTTTCGTGGTAACACCACCACCCTTTCACGTCATCCATGCACTCTCTCCACCTCTGAAATGTCATTCAGGTTCTCCCATTTCCTGTAACACTCCATGGGCAACACCACCCACCAAGCAGAGTTCTCCCTCTGTAGCTCCACCAGCAATTTTAGGAAACTGTTAGGTTTACTGGAGGAGGCAGCAGCTTCCCTACCCTCACCTTAAACACCCCCCTCCATACAACACGCACAAACTCCTGCTATCAGTAACCTCCCCCAACTCTTCCGCAAACACAGACACATACCTGCTGTTCCACAAATACCTTTGCCCTTGGCTTATAGGCAAGACAAACATTTTATCTGGTCTATATGTGTATGTATTCAGTGCTCCTCTGTCTGCGTGTCCCCAGCATGTGGGCCGCGTGAGCATTTGACTAGAAAGCAGAAATCCTAGTGGGATCCAGCCTGAGCCACTAGGCACAGCCCCCTATGAATGTGGGCACTCAGTTCGCAGTTTGGATTAGGAACCGACTGCTACGCAAGTAGCTGGGTGCTTATGTAGCATGACGTAACGATGGGTGATATTAAATGGGTTCTGGTAATTCACCAAGGATGCAGCCTCGTTATTGACCAGAGGGAGGCAAGAAAGGCAAAACTCTCAGTCCAGGACCAGTATGGGAAGCTCATTTCAGAAGGAAGTCAAGCACTTGCTTGGGACCCTCTGTCCCCCTGCATCCTTCTGCAACCCTCAGAGCCAGGAGAACGGTGTTCAGGAGCGCAGGACGCTGTGCTTGGAGATACCCATCTTGTACCAGGAAGGCTAAGGCTGGGCCAGCCATGTCGGGGGAGGTCAGACCCGTCTCTCTTGCCCTCTGAGTGTACCTTTTTTCCCTCCCTGTCCCGGCATCATTCCCCCTCTGCACGGAGCCAGGGGAGCAGACATCTGGGGAAGCT